ATCGTTATGCAGAGATTCATATCATAATTGACCGTTTCCTTTTTTTATTATAATTATGATATTTTTTTTGCCGCCTAAATCTAAAAGGTATTTAGTTTTGTGTGTATATGCCTATACTTTCACACAAAACTATATACATTTACTATGAGTTATTTCTCCTATGCTCCTGAGTCCTGTGATGAAGACTCCTGTGCTTTTTCACATTGGCCAAAATAGTGTTGTTTAATAATAATTGTCAGAATTTGTGCCTTTCAGTAACAAAAATAAATATTTATGAGTGCATAAGGGTCTAATAAGGGTGATAACATATAGATCGCGTGTTTTCAGCAAGTGTAAATGAATAAAAATATGTTTTTCTAACAAAAGTGAAGAACATATTGAACCATATAAGTTGAAGCCTGCTTTCTTATACTTGTTCGCGTTCTTTTTAGCGTTGGTAAAAGTGTCAAGACAGAAATATACAACATTTTAGATAATTCCATATTTGATATTGATTATACCATCACGTTCTTTGTCACATTTGTTTTTTTTGTGCGGCAGGGAGAAGTGGAATGCCTACGGACTGACCACAATCCGTCGTCCCGAAAAGTGAGTACACGGCTCGCACGGATTAAATCACTCCCCCTAATTCCTATGTTTACTCCGGGACTATGTTTGTGTTACTTCGAGGTAGAGTCCCTATTAGTCATTAAAGACTTCCATCGGTGTGACGTGCGTCCAGGCCACGCTACTGCTGCACTATCTTTGTGATTAGTTGCAAACGGTTGTTGATGTCGATATCAATCTGTTGATATCTGTAATCAGCTCGCCGCAAACAATCGTTTTTTATGTCCAATTTGATGTTTAGCATATAATACTTTTTTGATAATTAAAACAGTAAACATAAACTAGTTTTTTTAGTCGTTGCTTATATAATCAACTTACTTTACTATACTGTAAGAATTACCGCAAGATGGCGTAACTACTATATGTTTTTGCAATCAATACATTAATTTTCGACATTGAAGCCATGAATAACATTTATATATAGTGTAATGGATAAATTTATTCAGAATACCCGATTTCATCAAAACTATAGCAAAATTGGTGTGAAAATTTGAATTTATTTTAAATTTAAAACTTGGTATAGTTATTTAAAAAGTTTATTCAACTTTTTTTTTTTTATTAAGTTATCATATTTATATATTGTAAAACGCATCAGAAATTACAGAATGTGTATTTATTGTACATAGATTTTTGAAATCAATTAGTTCACAAAACATAGTGCTGACTATATCTTATGAAGTACGTATAATTTCTAGTAATTGTTGTGTTGATCTTACAAAACAATGCCAAAACAATGTCAAATTTGATGCAGTTTTTGAACTACCTTTTGGTACACCGACTATCGGTTAATTGCTAATGTTCTGAAACTAGGTCTAAAACTATGTCCAAAACTATGTCCACGTTGCTGCGATTTTTGGACATCCTATTCGCGCGTCGATTCTTGATCAGTCATAAATTTTTTAAGACTATGTCAAAAACTATCCCCACATTGATGCGATTTTTGGACATCCTTTTCGTGCGTCGATTCTTGATCAGTCATAGATTTTTTAAGACCATGTCCAAAACTATGTCCACATTGATGCGATTTTTGGACATTCTTCTCGTGCGTCGATTCTTGATCAGTCATAGATTTTTTAAGACCATGTCCAAAACTATCTCCACATTGATGGGATTTTTCTCGTGCGTCGATTTCCGATCAGTAGTGAGTTTTCCATAACCATGCCCAAAACTATGTGTATGCAGTTTTTGCACGTCGTACGTCGATTTGAAAGCTTGTTCAATCATTTATAAAGAAACTAGTAGATACGCTTAACAATATTTTTAAATAGTATGGTTAATGTAGCTTTTGAATGGTAGATTTAGGTACAAAGTTCTTTAATCCTAACATTATTTTTTTTTTAATTTATCACTGTAAGAACTATAATTGTTTTGTTAAATCATACCTTAACAGAATAATTTCAAATGCTTAGTAAACAAATAATGAAGTGACAAGTTAATATTAAATTTGTAAAAGACTATACATTAAAGTGGCTTCAGAATTTAAGTTATACTAAGAAGAAGAAGAAACTCTCATTAAGATTTGCTTAAGACTGAGGGTGTTTTCAAAACTCTGAGTTCTTCCCTTATACAGTAACACAATGGCATCAGTGGATCGTTTTGCCACGCCGATACAACCTAAACTCAACCCAACCTAAATGAAAGTTTACAAGGATATATTTATTTCTGTTTGGTGTTTAAATGGATAAGAATCTTAGGATCATTCGTGGCTGTGGTGCAATCTTTTGGGCAAACTTTTATTTGCAGTTGACAAACTATTATATATTTGTATTTATAAGTCAGTAAGCACAATATTAAGCTAAGTGGTTTTCATTATAAAAATAAAAACTTGATTTTACTTTACTTAACTAACAAATCCACATAATGTTCTGCATGTTAATGAAACACTTAAGCGATCATTTACAATACATGCAATTAACAATCTGTCAAATTATAGACATTTTATCACTTCGTATTGTTATCTTAATAAATGCCGTGACTGTAACTAGCAAACTCGAGTAATCGCATTCATTTCTGTCAATTTGACAAAATACATTTTTATTTGAATGGCTGGCTCTGCTGTAAGGCAAACATAATTATGGGCTTGTGATTGCAATTAAGTTTTATACTTATTGCAGTCACATCATTCCTTGGCAGAGTATCTGGTGCCAATTTTTAAGTAGCGAGCGGACTGGCTATATAATTAGGCGGCATCGCAATATGTAGTACGTATATACATACCCGTACATTTGTAATATCCTTAATTTAGCTCATTACAAAATATCCACTTAAT